TTTAAGCCAAGTGCGAATACCACTTTCGCGAAGTGGCCCCAGCGGCAGAGAGTTTAGAAATGGAGGGCCTTGAGTACAAGGAAACAGCTGGCCCACCGCCGCTTGTTCGACTGCTTCTGCATTGTTGAAGAAAGGACCTAGGTAGAAGTCATTGAGTTCGACATTGGCAGGTGCGAGAAAGTTTGGAGTTATGTATGGACGATTAAAGAGTTTCTGAAAGTCTTCAAAACTAAAGGAGTCGCCAGATTGAGATTGTGAAGTAGCCATTAGGGACGAAACAGAGTTTTTCAGAGTTACGTAGCAGGGAAGCAAAGAGATGAACAGTAAAATTGTGAGAGAGAAGCGCGAAAAAAGTGAGGCGTGATTTAATGGTGCAGTGAAATGGCGTATTTGGGGGTTATAAGGGTTTGCAAAACACCGCACCTTTCCAAGCTATGAAAGAAAATAATGATTGAAATTTTTGGAAATTTCGAATGTTGTTGGAAACACAAAGTGAATATGGCAAAATTTAATAATTGGTATTAATTCTGCCATATTGGGGGGTAATTGTTGACACATAAAAATTCAGCCCAAATCGAACGGCTCAAGGAATGAAGCCCAATTGGAGGATTCCCAAATCGTATAGCCCAAAGAACGAAGCCCAATCAGACAATTCAGGATGAAAGCCCAAATAGGGAGGCCCATGAACGCGATAACACCATCGCCCAAGCTTGCAAGTCACTCAAGATCTGAGCGAATAGAGTGCCATGCAGTCGCCCAGAGCTGCTACTCTATTCTCGCCCAAACCTTCGAGTCGCCCAAGGCCTTAGCAAACATGAAGTGTTGTGGTTATCAAGAAGCGCAGTTATCAAAGCAGTTATTAAAGCAGCCTTATCACGTTTCACGATTCAAGGAATTCAATTGAATACGGTTGAACGACAAAGAGTAATGGCAGCAGTTAGAAAAGGCAGTTCCATGACAAGTTGGCCATTACGAGAAAAGTGGGCAGTTATAGAACGATCAAACAGTTTTTAGGCGGTTGATCACAAAGAGATCATCCAGGGAGTATAAAAGGAAGAAAAGACATAGAGCAAAAGACCCCGAATCAAAAACTCTCGAATAGAGAACATATAATTTTAAATTTCTTAGTTTAGATTTAAACACTTCTTTCAATAACTCGTGTGCTTGTACCCCTTAGAGGCATTCTGTTTTTACTTTTCGATTGTAAAGTCATCGCCAATAAAGAACACCCCTTTTTGGGACTTTGCAGTCTCAAGAGGTTTGTCCCTTACACAATCGTCTGATCCCTTTTTAATTGTTAGCGATGAACCCGCGCGAAATAGGTCCATTTATTTTGTGTTTCAATTTTGAGTTTTAAATTATTTACACCTTTATATTTCATATTTTAAGTGTGTTCGGAGTTTTTACTAAAAATACTTAAACTGTCAAAAACGTATTTTGAGTTTTATGTTATAAACTGAACCTTGTTTTCAAATATATATTTTCACAAATATCAGGTTAAATAAGTTTTGAATGTTTTGTAAAATTGAAAGTTTTGAAGATAGTAATAAAGGTACCCTACAATTCTCTTAAAAGAATTCAAGAAAACGAATTTTATTGACATTGTTATGAGAAAGGTCTAGTCCTTTACATCATATCTAATAATTAAAACTAGAGTGTAAATCATGACTCACGTATTTGTCAAGTTGAATAGTAACACATGCTTGTACACAGGATGTAGAAACATTGTTGCGGAAGCTCTCTCCAATGATCTTCAATTCGGTGTTTTTGGGGCTCAATCCAACGTACCTTTCTCTATCAACATCAAAACCAACAGGCTCCAATCCACAACCAATATAATTCACCTTGGTTGCTATTTAATTTTACTCACGTAGGACAAGAAACGGTGATGATTTTTTGCCACAAAGACTAGGAGAAAATACCACAAAAGTAGACTATGAAGGAACCACCAATTACACAAAATAAACAAGCGTTTTGGACACTTCTAGGGGCTTTTTCACAACTTCAAGAGGCAGCCAGGATTCTCCTTTTTCTCACACAACCCCCCCCCCCCACACACACACACACAAATCATACTAGAAAGTGGCTAGGGTTATTATCTTATATATAGTATAGGGTTAGGCTTTAATTTAGACCTCTAAGGGACTTAAACGGGCCAAGATTCAAGCCATTCAAGAGGGAATACAATTGGATCGGGTGGAGCTCATGGACTTGATTGTTGGACTTATTTCATTCATCGGCCTATGCCTATAAAATAATTAACCCACGTTAACATCATAGCCTAGGATTTATTGGGTATCAAAAACCCAACAAATCTCTACCTTGATGTCCATCTGTAAGCAATCAAAACACACAGTTAGCACTTGCATAATCAAAGTAGCCAATAAAATTGGATCATAAACATTACCTCGTGTTTCCAACCTAAAACACATACCATACCTGTTCCATGTACTCACCAAGGACTAAGGTCAAGAACACCGAAGCAGGAACAAATATTCACAGTGAACAGAGTAAATAAAAATGAGATGATGATATATTATAGGATATCTCACATAGATCTTTTCAGAAACACGTTTAGATAGAACCACAGATTAACATTAAATTAATCAAACACACGGACAACCACATATGCAACAAATGTATAAATGACCCACGAAAAGATCTCACCACACTTATCCTATCCCATTCTGTGTTGCTCACACCTCGAGAATACATATCTCATCTCATAGCCCACCATACTTACTAGACTGATCACATAACTCATGTCTAACTAACAGGTCACAATAGATCCTAAGTCTATAGGATAATCATCTATCACCACACCACTTCTCCCAACTTAAGTGAATAATGGGTCTCTACCTAACAGAAGTGATAAAAGTATATCTCTCATACTCCACCTGATCAGTGTCTCTTTAATGATAAAGGATTCTAGACATTTAATCACCTCTCCACTCTGTATCTAAATGTCACACAACACATCCCCGGTACAAACCACAACGTACCCCTAGGCATCTAAACTCCACCCACAAAAGGACATACACCACACTGTAAATGCATTCTAACCCACTATGCATGTAAACAATTATACCAAGTAATCGTATTGTCTCAAATTCATGCAAATGCACATATCAAATACATTGAAATGTAGCATATAATCATACAACAAATTAGACGATCACACACATGCAGAAAGGATCACACATAAATGTACATGCAGTAACTAGGTTTACTCTCAATTAACCTCACTAAGGTCATCACTCGACCCTAAAACCAAATTTGCCTCACCTCTCATCTTACTCTTCCACTTATCTTTCTTCTTAAGACAATCCCTAATAAAGTGCTCAGACTTACCGTAACTATACACCTTCTACCACTATACTTGTCTCATCTCTTGCCCTTCTTCTTACTACCCTCATCACTTGAATCACAACCGTCTTGAGTTCTGCCTAAATTTATTTGCTTAAACTTCATCATACTCATCATCATATGTAACTTACCACTCATCTTATCCTCTTTTTCAGCTTAATCTCCATCTTTTTACTCCTAAGTGAGTCTATGACAATCTCGGGCATTGAGATGTCCCTACCATACTTAATACATTTTTAACCTCTTTATATGAACAAGGCATGAAATTAAGCAAGATAATAGCCTTATATGTTTCAGGTACATTTTCATCACAATTAATGATATCTTGAACTAACTTGTTAAAGACATTCAGATTGTCGTCAAGATCCTTTGAATGATCTATTTTAAAACTAAAAAAATCTTTCAAGCAAGTACAATTTGTCAGGAGTAGACTTAAGCAAATATAAGTCATCCGACTTTTTCCAAAATTCTTTAGTAGAATCAAGTTTTTCTACTTTTCTCAAAATAGTATCAGATAAGTGTAAATGATTGAAGTGAACCCAACAAACATGATTTGCAAACTCCACCAAACACCAAGAACTTAACGGCCTTGTGTTTCAATTTTCAGTTTTGAACTTTGAGTTCATTTTTAGCTTTATGTTTTGAGAGTTTGTTTTTAGATTACTAACAATACGTTTTGTTTGTCATTCTGAAAATCTATTTCTAAAAATAGAAAGCTTAAAAGGCATCCTGATTTTGAACCTTGAGAACAGGGTTAATTTAAGAGGAAGGGATGTCATGGCCCACTTTATTTACTTTTATTTTGTCTAATTGGGCTTGTATTATTAGTGGGATAGCCCATAGCCCTTTAACTTGATGGTTTTTATTTTTATTTTTTTGTTCTATATAAGGTTGTATTGAAAAGCTTTGGGAAAAGGATGAATTGATTAATTGAATCGTGGCCTGCTGCCATTCTTCTTCCCTCTTCCTCTTCCCTTCTTCTTCTTAATAGTTAAGGTACTATAATCCCTCTTCTCTTACTTTTCTAAATTTGCTTTATCTCATTTTCTCTGAATCTGCATCGTTGTTGTTGTTGTTGTTGTTGTTCTTCTTCTTCTTCTTCTTCTTCTTCTTTCAATCTGAATTCTTTATTTTCTTCTCTAAATTTGTCCGTCCTTTCTTTATTCACATTTCCCTACATTATAATTTTCTTTGCTGTTTATATTTTGTCATTTCATTGTAATTCAGTTCAATCAATCAAGTTTTACAGCTTGGATTATTAATCCTCATCTGAATTGTACTATTTTGTGTTAAATTGAGTTGTATATTTTGCTGGTTTTGGTTGGAAACAATCCAACCATAACAGTCTCTTTGATATAATTTTTTTCATAATAGATTTTGTATAAAGTGATTGTTTGGAACATGTGAAGAAAGGAAATTATTTTACCTAAAAAATGTATGATTGAAAATGAATTTGAATAAAAACAAGTTTTAAAAAATCTATACCAAATACGGACATAGTAGCGGTAGTCTATTTTTCATGTCATTATTTTTCTACTACATCCGATCATATCATTACGGTTTTTATTATTATAAAAAAATTATCGCATACTTTATTATATTAAAATAAGAAATTGGGAAGATCATCACATAAATTAAATTTTAATTAAGTCTTAACTCATTAAAAAGTAATTTTTGCACACAGCCAAACAAACATAATGAAGAAATCCAATCCAATGTATTTACCATACATAAGGGAGCCAAGAGGTGCTTATGGTAACTCCATTTCCCTCTAATACAAATTCTACAGCTAAAAGCATTCCGAGTACTCCATTCTTTGCACACGATCCTTGAGAATCCCACTGTACAAAGTCGCGTGATTTACAGGAATTTCATCTTCTTCTCTGTGCAATTCACTATTCCCACTTGAATCTTTTACATCATCTGCAAATTGAACCCTCTTCTTCGTCTTCTCCTTTTTCTTGCTACCTATAACAAAAATGATCAATGGGAGCTTTAATCAGACCAAATTATTCTTTTGAACTTAATCGCCTAACTTTGATTAATATTTTTATACTTAGCCAACATGTAGACAGTTAATCTTCTAAATTATAGTAATTAATTCAAGAAAACAAGAAAAGAAGAAATGGAGTTTTCTTGTACCTGAAGATAAACAAGACTGAAGAACTCGTTTATCGGTAGTTGAATCTTAATACTTTTCCCGGAAATGATCAAAGAGAATTATGGTAGACGCAGAGAGAGCCATGGCTGTGGCCAAAACCAAACCTTGTGAATATGGAAGACATAATTGGGGAGCTTGGTTTGCAAAATGCAACAAAAAAATGGTGGATTGTTCAGTAATTGTTGGTCGAAAATTTTACTCATGGTCATTTAACTTTGCACTAAGTGTCACTTTAGCTACTGAAATTTAATTTTTTTCATCTCATTGTTGAACTTCATAAAATGTTTCGTATGGACCATCAGCTCAGTTTGGCGTCTATTTTTTAAATGAACATTCTACATCTTCGTTTGCTAATGCATCAAGATATTTTGAATATTCTGTTAGAAAGTAGTTGTTAAATTGAGTCGGTGATTTGAATGAAATATTTTGCAAAAGTTCTAAGACGAATCTAAAACAAATTAGAGAAGTGCCAAAGCGATAAAATGTTCAAATTTTAGTGGCCCTTTGCATATAAATATATTTGAGAATATAGTGGATTGTTAAGAATCATGAACTGTACTACTTTTTTGACTGGAATTTCGTAAAGGGAAAGGGTGGAGGAGGAGAAGTGTAAATGAATTTTTTGGGTGATACGAAATGGACTTACTTTTTTGATGTTGATGGTTCTTCGAAGGAGAGAGGAAAGAGACTTGTGGTGGTTGATTGATCAATATTTGAGTTTTTATTGGATGCCCACAAGGTCATATTTTTGTGTGCGTCAGGGTGAATATGATACACGGAATTTTTGTACGAAGAGTCATCAAGTCATCTTTGTTGTATGTCTGAATGAATTTGCTAGATAGGATAAAGATACTTGTTCAGGATCACATAGGCCCTGGACGTATAGCACGTCCGCGCTAGATAAAAGAAGTGGAAACCCCATTAATATTACAAGCTCAGTTGTCAAACTTACCATGTTTTACATTGTGCGAAAGAAGCTAGAAGAAAATAAAGATTATTGTCGTAACGGCGCCTATAAATTTATTTTGATGTTTGAATTTTTAAATAACTTGGATTAGTTTGACATGTCATCATGGGTCATAGAGCGAGACAAAATCATGTTTTATTCACATGATTTCAATTCACTTTTTTAACTAGTTTGGTCCACCCGATCCATTTTGAACCCACTAGTCGATATTCAAATACTCTTATGTGCTGCTATATGTGTGCAATACTAGAAAAATAAACAATCCGGTTTTTTTCTTGATTTCATTTATAAATTGCAGGAAATTATAGCAGATAATGCAACATGAAATTAACATTTTTTTACCTCATTTTTGTATTTTGATATTTGGTGATATATGGATGGGACAGAATTGATTCAATCTCATCTCATATTTGTTCATGTTAAGTCCTCTAGTTCCTCAAAGTTTTGTATCCATTAAACTTCTCTATATCTTTGTATATAATTAAATGAAAAATGCAGATTAAAAATATTGAGCTTCCGCTAGAAGACTTTTTGTTAAATTCTCCCAACATATTTTTTTAAATTTAAAAAATTGCCATCTTTCAAATTCAATTTTTATATAAAATATAATCAATTCTGTTTAGAATAAACAAAAAATTGAAAATGTGTAAGCTTCATATAGGCAAAATTTAGACTTAAAACATATGGACGAGGGTATCAAACTTAAATTTAATTATAATTATAAACAAATTCTTCACTAATTAAAGTAAGTCAAATTTGCACACAAGAAAAAAATGTAGTTTGCTATATTAGAAGTCTAAAGGCTAAACTGCATGAGGCTAATGCCTCTAACCAAATTCATACTACCCAAATTTAGATAAAAATCAAAACTTGAATTTTTAACGCTTTTTTAATTACGATTTTTATTTTTATTATGAATAGTTGAAAATTAGAAAATCTTATTTTATTTTATCAAGGGCAATCAGTTCACAAAAAGAAATAAAGATAACACAAGATTTATAGAGGTTCATCTCAATATGAGATTATATATTTTCAGGCCGCTGGAGCAACGGCATCTAAGTAAACTGTGCACGCTATGAGAAGAGGAGAAATTACATATCTTCTTCCATTGGTTTTGGGTTAGAAGTCCTCACAAAGTAGAAAGCCTTACGTAGAAAGTATACAATTTTCCACTATCGGTGAATTAAATAGAATCGTAATAATAACTCTAATGAAAAAAACTTACAAAAAAAAATTGCACACATACAAGGACACGAATTCCTAAATCGATATTTTACAAGGACACAAATTCCTAAACTACCTTGTAAAGTTTCGAGGGGGACTTCTTGCCGTCCTTTCAATCAACATAAATTGCAATATATAAAATCTATAATACATCCCTGTAAGTATCACAATATTTTCTGTGGTAAAAGTTATTTCTTTTACCTTTTCTATCTCTTAGTTCTCCATCTTTAACATGTTAGATTGTTAGGATACATGCCTAAGGGCCCGTTTGGGATGGCTTTTGAAAAGCCAAAAGGAGCTTTTGAGAGCCAAAAGCCGCTTTTGGACCGTTTGGCTATTTTGGTTTAAAGTGCTTTTGGAGGTTAGAAGAGCTTTTAAAAGAAGCTGATTTTTTTGGCTTCCTCCAAAAGCACTTCCGGAATGGAAGTGATTTTAAATATTAATTTTCAAACAAAAATTAAAATAGCTTTCTCCAAAAACTCTTCTATAAGAAGCAAAAGCCAAAGTAAAAGCCGTGCCAAACTAGCCCTAAATATGTTTGGACTACACAACAATAGTTAAACCATTTTCTCCAAGTTAATAAATGGATGTTATTAATTTTTGACGTCTCTATACAATAATTATTTTATTTTATATTTTATTTTTATTTTTTATTGAGCATGATCAATCGCTTTAGATCTATGTGATGGTACGAGATTAGAGGTTAGGTTGAGAAGCACTAACAAACAGTTGAATCTCGATCGAGAAATATTAGTAATAGATTGAAAATCAAATGTTAAGATTATCACAATCATAAGGTCAACTACTCTATCAATTAGGGTACGTAGTTTGTAATATCCGTGGCGAGCAACTCTCACAAGTAATAACTCTAGTGCACATGAAAATATATACTACCTTAATCCATAACAAAATAATGACAGCTATTTGGATCTTTAGAGTCATGATGTGTCAGTAAGAGAGATAAATTAATATAAGCTCATTGGAAAGATTAGATAATAACTGCGCACTTCAATATGCAACGAGCCATGTAAAAGCAACAAACAGAACATGAGACTGTAAGGTTAGGCAAAGATCATTCAAACACACAAATAACGTCAGGTCAGTTGAGAGTAGAAATTCAAAAACCGCACCATCAAAACTCTGTTAAATCCATATGAAGAGCTCTGCAGAACTATAACATGATATCTGCAGCTTAGGAAACAAGTACGATTGCTTATTTTCTGCAGACGATAAGCACTAAACAGAACACGAGTTTAATAAGAGGACAAACCATTTTCGGGTACCTATTTAAGTAGTGAGAATGGGAGGTAGGTAGTCGGATTTGGCACCAAGAATGCGAGCTTTTGTGTCAGGGAAGAACTCCATTCCTGGCAACTCGGTAACCTCCCCTTCACTAGAAATCCCAATGGGGTAGCGGAGCAAGTGACCAGGTAGGTCCCTTTCAAGATTTTCGCTCGCATAGAGATCCCAATATTTGTCGGCATTCTGGTTTACCTTACTGATACATTCCTCACTTTCTGGGTGTAGGAAAGTTTCATCGAGCATGCCGAGATGTTCATACCATAGTGCCATACGAAAACCGTGGACCTGACCCCTGGCCGGTCGGCTGGTTGCCAAATGATATGGTTGATATGCTCCCATGGCTATCTCAGAATCCCTAGCACCGTCCATGGATCTTTGGTTGATATTGGCAGATCCAATTATTATGTACTCATCATCAACTACCCAAAAAAATAAATAAATAAAGGGAATATCAACGTATGTCCTTCATTTCATAGCAGTTCATCTCTAGAATTCACTCATGTCTAAGTACACTTCAAGCTTTTAGGATTGCAAACACAAGCTACTACCACTGCATCAACAGCTATACAAAGGAAACCAGTATCTACTGGTGCCATTATAAGGGTTATACTACTTGAACAGGCCCCTGTCCAAACAGGGGCCTGTGTGGCAACCCCCATTATAAATATAGGTCAATATTGATGTGCTTACATGTAGCTATCGTAAGACACGGAAAATATGCAAGCCTAATAATGCCTAACATTTAACAATGATTTGTGCCTTAAGCGATGGAAAAACTTTTGCTATAGCTCTACATATTAGATAGCTTTGTAATTTAGAGGGCATATCTTTCAATAATTTACAGATTTAAACATAAATAATTCTTAGTTTTAGAAGTCAATCTCATTACACTCAAAATCCAGTACATACCTATCATCATCTTGGAATGAACGTAGATCATAAAACGTCGAGCCTCCTGAGCTTTTAGATAATCTGAATCTAGTTCTGGTTGTTTTGAAGGTTCATATTCACCACTCTTCTTCACCTCCCGATTTCCAAGGCAAAAGAATGTCAGGTAATTTCTAGGGTCCTCCTCAATACCCTTAGCTTGAAGAGCCCTAACGATGTCTTTATACATCATCTCCATTGTCCTCCTCTGCCAATCTAATATAGCCTGAACTGATGCACTCTCTGGAATCCCTTCGGGCCACATTGGCACCACTATGTACACAGTGAATCTTTCTGCAGCCTCAATCTTACTCACAATCTTCAAGGAAAGTTCCTTAGGAATAAGATGCAGAGCTCCAATGTCCTCAACCTTGATATCATTACAACCCCAGCCAAAACACCCTCCCAGAAAATACTGATTTTCTATATAAATAAAATTCCTCCCATGACGTATCGCATGAATATATGCATCTTGAATGCTTCGGTCAATTATATTGTCCTTCCCACTGACAAGACCTGCCCTTGCTGCCTCCTCGGGAGTATCCGGGAATCCAAAGGCAGCCCCACCATCAATAGATCTGAATAACTGAACATTCCATGTTTCATGGTCATCTGGATACATCACTGGAGATGGTGGAACAATAATATCATCAAGCTCTGTCAAGTTAAGTAATACATTCTTCCCACCTTGTTTCCTCCATCTCTGCTCAAAATTAAACAGAACATCCCAGGCAATTGGTCCTTCCAATCGAGAATGAATGTCATGCCAAGGCTCCCTCGGCCCACCTTTTGTGATGGCAGCACCAGTAAAATTAGGCTGATGAAAATCATCATGGTGTGCTGTATCCAATGTCCTGAAAAGTGAATGGAATGGAGTATCATATCTTCCATCGCATAGATCAATGCCCCCCACAAAACTCACAATCCTCCTCTTCTGCGATCCAGATCTAGGCAAATCACTGTCCACCACTACAATCTTCT